GGGGGAGTGCGGGAGTGCCGCGGGGCCGCCAGCCAGCCGCACGCCTCGGCGTCAGGGGCATGGAGGAGCGGCGGGCTCGGAGCCGCGCCACGGAGTCCCCGAAACTTCCGAGCGGGCGCCAGTCCGCGCCGCTGCCGCCGCCGCTTCTTCGCCTGCCGGCCTGAGAGCGGGACCATGGATGAAAGGTTCAACAAGTGGCTGCTGACGCCGGTGCTCACTCTCCTCTTCGTGGTCATCATGTACCAGTACGTGTCCCCCTCCTGCACCAGCTCCTGCGCCAACTTCGGGGAGCAGCCCCGCGCGGGGGAGGCCGGCCAGCCGGCCGCCCCGAGTCCCGCCCGCCGGGCACAGGCGCCGCCCGAGGAGTGGGAGCGGCGGCCCCAGTTGCCCCCGCCACCCCGGGGGCCGCCCGAGGGGTCTCGGGGGGCCGCTGCGCCAGAGGACGACGATGAGGAGCTCGGGGAGCCGGAGGAGGAAGAAGAGGAGGAGGAAGAGGAGCCGGACCCCGAGGCCCCCGAGAACGGCTCTCTGCCCCGGTTCGTGCCGCGCTTTAACTTCACCCTGAAGGACCTGACCCGCTTCGTGGATTTCAATATCAAAGGGCGCGACGTGATCGTGTTCCTGCACATCCAGAAGACCGGGGGCACCACGTTCGGCCGGCACCTGGTGAAGAACATCCGGCTGGAGCAGCCGTGTAGCTGCAAAGCCGGCCAGAAGAAGTGCACCTGCCACCGGCCGGGCAAGAAGGAGACGTGGCTTTTCTCCCGCTTCTCCACCGGCTGGAGCTGCGGGCTGCACGCCGACTGGACGGAGCTCACCAACTGCGTGCCGGCCATCATGGAGAAGAAGGACTGTCCCCGCAACCACAGCCACACCAGGTACTGTCTCCAGCCCCCTCTCGCTTCCTGCCGCCTCCCCGCCCCTCTCCCCTTGGTCCCTACCCTGGGCGGCCCTGCGCTGCCTGAGCGTGCGTGTGGTTCCCTGGTGTCTTCCAGCGATTGGGGCAGAGGCTTTGGGAGTGGGGTAGGGAACCGCTGGATAGCGCCCTGGTCTTGAACTCACTCTTCCCCTCCCCCCTCCTTTCTCCCCGCCGCTTTCCGATACCCCCTTTCACCTTCAAAGGTGTCCCGAGCAGTCGTGTGTGTTCTTCCTTGTGCCTAGGACGGCGTGGCCTGCCGCCCACCGTGCAATGCAGAGGAGGCCTGGGTTAGACTAGCGAGGTCGGATCTTGTACCTAAATTGTGTGAGTGGAAACCCAAACCCGGTGAAAGGCAGGAGGAACTGGGCATGGAGAGGCAGGGCAGGCGTTTTCCAGGCACGCTGAAGCCAGAGGCGAGTCTAATCCCTCTATAAGTGGCTCTTGGGAGGCTCCTCGCCAGCTCAGGAAACAATCCTCTTGGTGTGTCTTTGAAGATACACTTTCAAATTCCCGCTGTACCTCGATAACCCTAATTCTGGAGGTGGTCTTTGTTGCTGAGCAATGCCGGGATTTGGACTCATGCTGTTCTCAGCAAGATTTCCACTCTCCCCCAGACCAATCCATCAACACATTCCAGAAGTACTTGTTAAATGCCTACTGTGGGCCGGGCAACGTGCTACGGGGACAGAAAGATAAAATAAGGAAAATCCCTTCCTTTCAGGATAGGTGGTTTTCTCTCTCCACCCCCCCCCCACTTTTAAATAGTAATACTGCTGAGAATTAGGAAAGTTTGAAATCTTAATAGCCAATGATACTGCTTACATTAACATCCTTTGAGAGAGGCATGAGCTTAAGAATTTGGTTGAATGTTCTTTCTGCCCACTGCAATTTGAAGATTAATCTGACATGCTTGCTCAAGGGACTAAAATATTAAAAGCTTGGAACACTAGTTTATTGAAGTTTTTATCTCAAAGGTTTCAAACAATTTGGTGTAAGGAAACAGGAATTTAAAAACTCAAGCTCAATATGTTGATATCAGATAGCTTTTGCCTTTGACATTATGGAAAGACTTCATTTCCTGGAAGCTACCCAGATTCTGAATTCACCACCACTGAAGCATCTAATTCTACTTCATTTCTCCAAGAATGAGCAAAATTTCATTATGGGATTTTTTACTCTGGCAGTTTTTCAAATACTTTCTCTCCTCCCTGCTCCTTTCCCTGTTTAATGGAAATTGGTTAGAATAGGAAACTGGTTGGACTTGGAATGAAGGCATTAGGCTCCTTCCTTAGCATATTTTAAGGACCTTTTACTTTTAAAAATTTCTAATCCTGTAGTGTTTTAGACCCTGCACCTCTGTTTTAGCTTAAAATAGTTTTTCAATTAATTATTACTTTCAAACTTCCTAACAGACAAGACTGTTATTTCAATGAGAGACAATCTTTGCTGCATCTTACCGCAAATTGTACCTTTTGTATTTCGGCCTTTACCTATTAATTACTGACTGACCCCAAGGAGTTTGCTACTCTGATTCCTAGCTTCCATTTCAATAAAACTAGAGACTTTGATTATCACAGAGGAACATCGATTCTACAGTAGGGATGGGCATTTTATTCTGTCAATATATATATAAAAGTCTCAGTGGATAGATGAAGAGTTTTGGAGGAACTAGAGATTATGGAACCTGAAAATAATTGGAGTTTTGCTTAGTGATGAAGTGTTCTGCTATAGACCCTACCTGGATTAAGCAGTAAGGTCTTACTCCTATAGGAAATACTCAGTATCTCTCTACTCTGTGATGTGGGAAAATTCCACCTTGGCTGTTTGAACATACGGTTTCTATTGCAGAGTCAAATGCTTTTCTCTGTTTAATGATGGACCATGAACATTTATTTCTCTCTGAATCACAAGTTATCAGATAATCACCCTGCACAGGGTTGCTTTTTTTTTTTTTAGTTTTTTAATTTTCACGTAGGTTTTTTTTCGGGAGGGGGTGGTTACCAATTTATAATTCCTTTTCCTTTTCTTCTTCACCTTCTCTCCCCTTCTTGGTATTCTAAATTACTTCTTTCGTTCTAGATGTTGTAGGAAGGAATGGTTGTGGGTTATGTGAGGCACCCTGCATCGAACGTTATAGGGAAAAAGTTGAAGGGATGTCCAGTAGCGTCTTCCTCACAGAGAAGATTGAATTACTGGTCTGGCATTGGAATGCCTGTGTACAGCATTCTACAGTCAACTAGATTAGCCTGGATAATGGAGGGTACATTTCCACAATGCAAAATGGCAGATAATCTATCACTACATAATGGGAACAAGGTTCTTCAAATAGGGCTGACTCTAAGCAAACTCGAGAAGTAGATCATGTTGATATTAGTTCCCTAGTCTTTTTGCTTTTGGCCCTTTTGAGGGTCCCCCTCCCCATTTCTCACAGGGATTAGTGCCTTTGTAAGGCATCTAGTGAGCAAGAGCAAGGATTCTGGATCCGGATGGATGTGGCTCTTGTGTAACCAAGAGTGGCCCTTACTAGCTATGCAACCAGGAGTATGTTACTCCTTCTGAGCCTCAGATTCTTTATTTTTAAAGCACAGGTAGTAATTAGTACTTCTCTTATAGAGGTGTTGTGAGAACTAAATGAACAAATGTGTGCAAAATGCTTACCGCAGTGTCTACATATAGTGTAATGTGCTGGAATATAGTACTTACTTTGCAGGTATATAGTAATAGTTAACATTAGTTGTTAGTTGTAATAACACTGTTTTCCTGAGTCAAGGCCTTCTTTCATGAAAGAATCTGAGGTCCGTTCCTTAGAGCAGCGCATTGTAAATGGGTCACCTTATTTTATAGAGATGCTATTTTGTGATTACTTGTATTGAGACAGAATTCAAACTTAAGAAATAAATGGAAAATAATGGACATTTGAGCATCAATCAATGCAGGGAACATGATGGAAGACAGGGACACAATATAATTGGGTATATATTCTGTTGGTGATGAAACAAACAAGCAAACAAAAACCAACCTGTCTGGGATGGTGTGAGCAAGTGGGAATATCGAGTACCAAAGGCAGAAGTGGGAAGCCAACTCTGAAAGGAGATGCATGGTTTAGATGAAGGAGCCATCATATGGACTGTATGGACCCAGGAAGGGACAAGGCTCTGGGGCTGGCAGTTTGGATCCAGCACAGAGGGCTTTTTTTTTTTTTTTAATGTTTTATTTATTTATTCATGAGAGTCGCAGAGAGAGAGAGAGGCAGAGGGAGAAGCAGGCTCCCCGCCTAGCAGGGAGCCCGATGCGGGGCTCGATGCGGGGCTCGATCCCAGGACCCTGGGTTCATGACCTGAGCCGAAGGCAGACGCTTAACCATCTGAGCCACCCAGGCGCCCCTGAGCACAGAGATTAGTTAGAGTAAAATAGGAAGCAAATCAGAAGGTGGCACAAATGAATGATCTCTTCGATCCTGTGACTGATGATTTCTTCTCGTTATATTTTTTTTGCTTTCCCCTGCAACTATCTTTTTGGTAGGTTATTCTTTCTTATTCTTGTGCTGCCTTCTTTATTACTGTTTTTCCTTTTATCTGCATGTTCAGGTCTAGGAAGACTATTCTTTACCATTGTTGAGTATGGATAGAATCATAGCATTTTATGGCTAAAAAAGACTGAAGAAGTAATCAAGTCCTATAAAATATCTGGCAAATGAGTAATTTAATTCTAAGGAAGTGAAATGATGTATCTAAGGTTTCTTCAGGGAACTTGAATTTTCATTTTAATAAGTTATATTTGGTGTTTTGCCTGTTGTTTTCTTCTATACTTCTATATGCTTCTATAAAAGTAGAGTGGAGAGTGTTTTAAGCACTTATTATGTGCCGGGTACTGTGATAGTTCTGGCAATAGAGTTTTGAATAGTGTCAGTCCTATGGGGCTTAGGCTATTAGGAAAGAAAGACCTTGATCTTCTTTGGTAGGTGAGTATCACTCTCATTCTTAAATAATGGTAGAAAGAGATTTTTTAAAAAGATTTATTTATTTTAGAGAGAGAGAAAGAGAGAGAGAGCGAGAGCATGTGTGTGGGGAGGGGCAGGAGAGAATCTCCAGTAGACTCCACACTGAATGCCGAGCCCCATGTGGGGCTTGATCCCATGACCCATGAAATCATGACCTGAGGCAAAAGCAGGAGTGGGCCACTCAACCAACTAAGCCACTCAGGTGCCCCATTGTTGGGAGGAGATTCTATTCACACCTTTTGTAGGGGGGGGTAGTGATTTTTCCCTTTTATGACCTGTTTTCTGTTGGTTCTAGTAGACTAGTTGGAATCTTATGAATATTGTAGTAGATAGGACCTTCTGTGTTGCAAATGATACAAACCTAACTCAAACTCAGTTCAGCCAGGTGGGAATTATTGGCTTAATAACCAGACCATAGGAAACATAGGGGTAGAGTTGGTTCTAAGAACGACTGGAACTGGAGGTCTGGGGTCTTTCTCCCCACACTCCTTTGGATATTGACCTCATCAGATTGGCTAATTCCATGAAATGGGTAAATGGCTATCATATCTAATAGCTCCACAGGCCAAGCAGGTAGCAAGCTTTCTCCATGTTCCAATTTAAAATCTTGGGGAATGACTCTGATTAGTCCAGCTTGGAACTTGTGACTATCCTTTCTGCCAGTCCATGTGGCCAGGGCGATGAGGTTTTCGGAACCACCTGGTATCACAGTACCATCTGTGGGACTGGTTTGTGTGTGTGTGTGTGTGTGTGTGTGTGTGTGTGTGTGATGATAAGAAGGGGACCTCACATAGATACAGCTCCCACATAGACCATCGGGTTCTGGATAGTCTTTCTAGTTGTGTCAATTATATGTGTAAGTGAATAAAAAATAAACTTTCAGATCTCCCCTTTGCATTCTTGCATGTAGGAACATTTTCAAGTCAAGCTATAGCTCCAGTTTACTTGCAGTAGCTGAAAACCATGTCATATGAGGAATAATTTGAAGGAACCTGAAGTATTTAATATGGAGGTGGAGAAATTAAGGAGAGATGTAAAAATTGCCTTCCATTAGTCAAAGGAAGATGGTGTGGAAAATGGAGGAAGCTTGTTCTGTATTTCTCCAAAGGATGGAACTAGGATATGTGGGATACCAGTGGTAGGATAAGGTTTCAACTCGGAGTAAGAAAGAACTTCTTAAAATTTGTAGCTGTCTAGGTGCCTGAGTGGCTCAGTCAGTTAAACATCTACCTTTGGCTCAGGTCATGATCCCAGGGTCCTGGGATCGAGCCCTACGTTGGCTCCTTGTTCAGTGGAAAGTCTGCTTGTCCCTCTGTCCCTCCCCCTGCTTGTGCTCTCTCTTTCTCTCTCTCAAATAAACAAATAAATAAATTAAATCTTTAAAAAAATTGTAGCTGTCTAAAACGAGAATGAAATCTTCTGTGCAGAGACATACTACCTAACAGTGAAAACTTTAAATGTGGCTGATCAACCACTGATGTTGTGAAAGCAATTCCTCCCCAGGAAGGGCTGAACTCGTATGGCCTTCTATTTTAAGTTTCCGTGTTCTAATCTAAGCTGAATTCAGGGTATCTTTCTTTGTCCCTTTCCTGCCCCATGCAGAGAAAATAAAACGAGAAAAAAAAACCCAAAATGATTACAAGTGAACTACTCCTTTCTCAAACATTTGTAGATATTTCTACCAAGGAAACTTTTGGTAGAGCACTGTCTGATGGTATAGACTGTTGTATTCGTTTGGGGCTAAAAGCAATGGATAGGTCCTGTGTACTAGAGCATTGCTTCTTTCATAATAAGTATAAAAAGGTAAGATGAGAAAAAGAACTTCCACCGGAAGCTGTTACCACTTTGAAACATCATCTGGGTATTGCTTTATCCTGTGGACATTGGGCTAAAATATATAAGGAGGCTACAGAGTTCTGTTTCAGACTGTCTAGAATATTATGGCCCATACTGCTTTCTAAAGCATAATCTTTTTGATGTCTCTTCTAATTAGAAATGTTGAACTGTGAAGAAGGTTAATTTTCACCATCAGGTTTGTGTGCTGTGTGAAACCAAGGAGATAAGAGATTGTTCTGTCTATATGCCATATCCACTTATATGTTCATTACAGAGTCTCTGGAAGTATTGCTTCTGGTCCAAACCACCAGTATTTGCTATAAATCAGAAGGAGGTTGAATTAAACCCATTCCTTTTTTTTTTTTTTTTGAGTTGTGAAGATAAAACTGGAACCAGTAAATGGTGATCGATGATTTATTTTTCTGCCTTTTTCGTGCTGGTTACCTTGGGATGTTGGCAAGTGTTGATTTTTTTTTAGAGAAATACAGATGCTCATGTAATAATTGGAAGCTAGGTAAATTTAGCCTCTAACAATGTGGATTGGCTTAATCTTAGACTCTTACTTTATTATTCCCCAAAGCTAATTATTATCATCTCATTTTTACTAAGGACAATCAGAAGCTTATGGCATTTGAAAGTTACTTATGTTTGATAATGAATTAAACAGGTTTAATTGAGACTGCCAAATCTTAATGTGATTTTAAGACTCATGAAATAAATTATTGAGCCAAGAAATAGGTTTAGTATGAAAACAATTAAATGGGGAACCCAAATTAATATTTTCTAGTAATCAATTATCTTGTTTTTGAGTTTGTTAAATTATGGATATCATATATAAATTCTCTGTTGATTTTAATGGGCCAATATAACTCTATTTAAATTATAGCTAAGCATTTCACTGCATTTGGGAAGTGTACTGGACAGTTAACTTAGATGGTGTTATTTGTTTATATCTCCCGTAGCACATACAGTTGCTCAGTAAAACCCATGTAAAGTTCCGAAGCACAGAGACCGACCTATAAAAAATGCTCAACACATGTCAGCTAAAAATCTATCATATTCTAGTTTATCTTGTAAAAATATCAGCATAACTTGACCAGACTGTGGTTTTTTTATGGAATGATCCAATGTTTTATGTCATGACTCTCTTATTTCAGGTGAAAGTGCTAATCATTAGGAATTGCCTTCCATAATTAGCAAGGTGTCAACTGCCCTGATTCTCTAGAGGAGGAGTAAAAGTCAGGACAGAGGCCAGGACTTATTGGACCATTCTAGAAGGTTTCTCCCAGGAGACAGTATGCTACAAGTCAGGAATTCCTTTGGGTACAAGGTTAATCTCATTCATTCTCAGTTTAGGAAAAAAAAATCAGCCTAACTAGAGAGAATGGGCTCCTTGATGTAGGT